ATATAAAATATTTATATAATATAGAAATAACACTTAGGATACTAAATACACTATACATAACTATCTGTATCTAGCATACACATCATTTTTATCTTGAGCTACATATGATATACATATTGATAAACTCACTCTCTAGTTTTTATATAATCCTATACCTAGTTTTAATATAATCTGTATACTATGTACTCTCTCTAAATATACTCTATAGACTATACTATATACTTGATATAGAGTATATAATCTTATAGAGTATTACCTATACCACATACCTTATTGAGTATATATTATATATTGTATAAATACAATATACAGTATATGATATACACTACATCCAGTGCATGTAGTATACAGATATATATATGTATATATGTATATGTATATGTATATGTATATGTATATGTATATGTATATGTATATGTATATGTATATACTTAGATGCTGCATATGAAAACTATCTATATACTATGAATATCTCTGTATGTATTCACATATAGATAATGTACATGCAGACAGTATATACAGAGAGCTATACTAGGTATGCTCTATACCTAACTCTGTATGCAGAGGGTTCCATACTGTAACTGTACTGTGGGGTTTTATTGGTGTCCCTGGGCTAGGACCCCTCAGGATCAGTGGCTGGGGACAGCCACTGCCCACAGCCCCAGTGGAACCACACTGAAGCACTGCCAGGGGGTTTCTGGGGCAGAGGGGCAGGAGCAGGGAGCAGTCAGCATGGGGAAGTTGTGCCACCCATGCCAGGTTTCCACAGTGTAAAGCAGTGTGGGGAGAATGCACCACCGAAAGCAAAGCACCAAGAACATGGGAAGGGCCAGGAGAAGGGTTCCCAGTGCCCCTTACCTGTGCCCAGCTGAGGTTCTTGTTGGTCAAGTGGTAATGCACCATGCCCTGGTGCTCATGCTTCAGGACACTGCCTGTGGAATGGAGCAGGGAGAGGCTCTGTGTTAGGGAAGGTGCTGCAGTTCACACCCAGCACCTGCCCCTGCTCCAGGGGCAACCACTCCAGTAGCTCACAGTACCTGGGAAAGTCTTCTCCACGAAGGCCTTGAAGGCCTGCAGCTCACCCTCCTCCTCGCTCCGGGTTTTGGCCAGCAAGGTGTATCCACTACCAAACTTGCTTTTGAGGTGCTGGGGGCTGCCCAGGCACTTGAACTGCCCATTCACCATGATGGCCAGTCGTGTGCACAGTGCCTCGCACTCCTCCATGCTGCAGGAAGGAGAGGACTCGTTCAGAAAATCCCAGGATGGTTTGGGCTGCAAGGAACCTTAAAGCTCATCTCATTGTACCCCCTGCCATGGGCCGGGACATCTTCACTATAACAGGCTGCTTCAAGCTCAGTCCAGCATGCCCCCAGAGATGAGGCAGCCGCAGCTTCTCTGGGCATGTAAGCACCAGGACACGAGCAGAAGCTTCTGGGAAGCGGCTGGAGGTGTGCTCCCTTCTCTCTGGACTCTTTGAGGAGGGAGATTTGGGTCGAGCCAGCCACTGGCTGCAGGCAGTGTATGCCCACCCACCAGGCCCCGGAGGTGTGTCCCATCCCTCGGATCCCACCACTCTCCCTGATCTCTTATGCCAAGCCCTGGCCAGCCAGGTGTCACCTGTGGGAGGTGAAGATGATGGATTTGCCACACTCCCGTGTCCGTGTCACTGCGTCCCAGAGCAAGCGCCGGGCCACGGGGTCCATGCCAGTGGAGGGCTCGTCCAGGAAGATCACAGGGGGGCCACCAATGAGGGCAATGCCAGCACTCAGCTTCCGCTTGTTCCCACCGCTGCAGAGGAATCACAGAACCATTAAGGTTGGAAATGACGAGCGAGATCACCCCGTTCAACCTTCAGCTGAAAACGGAACGAGGAACGGGGACAGAGCCCCAGTATGAGCACAGGGAGCAGCACACCAGAGGAGGGACAGCAGTTTGGCCAGGCCTGCTCTCACCTGTAGGTCCTGACGAGCTTGTCGGCGTGCGGCTCCAGGAGCAGCCCCCGCAGCATGTTCTCCACGCAGCTGCCGATGTAGCGCTCGGGGATGCCGCGCAGCCGCGCGTACATGCTCAGCGTCTCGCGGCCCGTCATGTGCTCCAGCAGCGCGTCAAACTGCGGGCAGTACCCGATCCTCTGCTGCACCTGTGCCCAGGGGAGCACACGGCAATCAGCACACGGGCAGGGCTCCGAGCCAGGGCTGCCTGGGCACCCACGGGCCCTGCTGCTCCTCCCAGAGTGATGGAACTGAGCCACAGCTCTGAAACCATGGGGGGAAGGAGAGGGAAATGCCCCCTGGAGCAGCTGGGCTGACAGGGATGGACAGATGTGTCTCTGGACAGCAGCTGGTGGGCTCACAATGCCTCTGCCAAGCTGGTTCCTCACTGTGAGGGACCATTTTGAGGTGCCCATGCTCTCAGAAGAAGGAAAGTGCTGGAGGGCTGGTACCTCCCCCATGTCCTGCTCACTTCCAGGGACAAGAGCATGAGAGAAGGCAGTTTCAGGGAAGGAAGCAATTTGGGGCATGGTCTCAAGGAATGTTCTTCATGTCTGACCTTGTCTGGGATCCCGATTCACTTAAGACTTGGACTTGATTGTCCTTGTGGGTCCCTTCCAAATCAGAATATTCTGTGAAGTCTGGGACAGTGGTAGAGGAAGGACTGGACTGAAAGCCTAACCCCTGCTCATCTCTTCCTCTTCCACAGGAAGTGGGCAATTCCCAGCAAGGACACCCCTAGCAGAGCTCTGGAAAGGTTTGATACACTCATTTTAGAGACCATCCTCCAATATTTCCACATTTCCAGCTATGGAGGTAAAACCCTTTGATGAAAGGTTTGCTACCCGCAGCAGGTTTGGTCTCCATTTGTATCACATCTGTAATCCCAGTGGAGAGGAAACTGCTTCCTCATGGCCAGATAATGGAGAGCTGAGCCAGCCAAGGACACAACGTCCCTGGGATATTTATTGTCCCTGCCTCTGGAACTGCAACCATGTCCTATTGGAGGCCCCTGCAAGGTGGCTCAGCCCAGGCAAACACAGGATGGTCTGCAACACCACCCTCAGCCCCGCAGCCTTGGGTACCTTCTTGATGTTGGCCAGAATGCTGTGGCCATCCACAAAGGCGTCCCCCGATGTGATGCTCTCGTCACCCGTCAGCATCTTGAAGGTGGTGGTTTTGCCCGCTCCGTTGAAGCCAAGGAGACCAAAGCATTCCCCTTTGCTGACGGCCAAGGAGATCCTGTCCACTGCCAGCAGGGACTCCCGGCTGTCATAGACCTGGAGGAGCCACACACATACCACGTGTCACTGCCCGATGGCACGACAAGGCCCGAGAGGACACGGCTCAGATGGCAGCAGGATGCTCACGTCACCCTGCCTCACCTTGGTCAGCTCCTTGATGACCAGAGGGCTGCTGAGAGACGACAGCAGTTCTGGTGGTGACTCCAAAACCTTTTTCCTCTCATCTGCCACGTCCCTGTCCTCTGGCAGCACAGACACCCTGTTCAGCAGGGCCACCTGAACACAGCGGGAAGACACACTCTGTGTCACCTGGCTGCTGGGGGATGAATGGGCTCCTCCAGTGTCCCCAACCCTGGGAGGATCCATCCCTCTGGAGATGCCTCGCTCCCTTTGCCAACCCATACACTTAACAGGAGTGGCTCCTCCAAGCTCCAGGGATGCTCCCTGGGAAGATGATTTAGGTGAAGAGGGCCCGTCTCCAGCTCACAGGGACTCCTGGGCTGGGCTTGGAGGGCACAGCTCCCTCCCATGTGCTTCACTCACCCATTTCCGCCGCCTGCAGATGCCACAGACCAGAGTTCTCAGTCTCCAGAGAAGGTTTGTCTCAATGAGGAAGAGGAGGAAGAGGAAGGAGAAACCCTGGATGGCCAAGGAGGTCAGGTACCGCCCAATCCCAGGGGTCTCCCAGGAAAAGTAGTTCATCTGATAACTGATATCTGAGGAAAGATGGAACAAAATCAACTCCAGGATCAATCCACACTTTGGGGAGAGGCAGATAAACTCCAGAGGAAGCTGTGAGCCCAAAGCTTTGCCTGGCTTATCTGCATCCTACACTGGCTCCCTGCCCACAGCTCTTCCCAATGCTTCCCACAGGAGGATTTGGGGCTGGAGGGGATCTGGCAGAAGATGCCCACTGGAGGCAGGCTGAGGACACCAATCTTGGGATTGGGATTTCTTTACTCATCTCTGAAACTTCTCATAGCACATATTTTTCCTCCAGATCATGAGTAAGGTGATCCAGTTAAGGAATTTTTTCCTATGTATGTCCTAATATGCTGCCCAGGTTTTGCTCTAAAATGGTACCTGCAGCTCCTGCCCAGGCAGAGGCCCCATGACACTGCCCAGTTCCACCATCCACCCCACAGAACCCCCCAGTGATGCTGTGGGGGCTGGCCAGATGGGGATGTAGAGACTCACTGAAGGCCTTGCAGATGAAGATGGCTTCAACAGAGGAGGTGCAGAACTGAATGAACTCATAGTTCTGGTAGAAGTCACTGATGCACTGGCCCAAGCAGTAATTGGGTAAGATGAGAAAAACTTTATCCAGGGTTTTGGAGAGGTCCACCAAGCCCAGCTCTGAAAGAGAACAGGTGGATCAGTGAATTAGAGACTGCTGGTTTGGGAGAAAAAACCCTGATAACTGAAAAGTACTGAAGTTCAGAGAGAAACCAAACATATTTTGTCACATTTAATGAGTGAGAATGGACTGTTGTAGTGTTTTATGGCTATTGTGGGACCAGCCCTGGGGTCAGAGAGCCCTTCTGGGGGCTGGCCCTTGTTGGTGATGGCTGGGCAGATGCAGAGGGCAGTGACCCACCTGGGATGCTCATGATGGTGACGGCGAGGAAGGTGGCGGTGCCGGAGAGGATGTTGAAGATGGTCAGACGGGTGTAGGCCGTGGCTGCCACCGAGAAGAAGAAGCTGAGGAGGTACATGAGGGGGATGATGGCCCAGCCATAAAGGAGGAAGATCAGCATCACGTCAACGAGGTGGCTGTCTTGGGTGAAGGCTTGCACGTTGAAGGCTTGGAATATCACCTGGGGCACAGCAATGTGGGGAGAAGGCACATTTGGCTTGACCTCAGGCGATGTCTCCTTGTCCCAGTGGCCCAGGGTAACATCAGCACTGCACTGACCCAAACAGCCCCTCATGGATGGGTCCCACCAGCAGCCCATGGCTGTCCCCAGGGGAGGCCCTTTCTGCAGACTGGGATGCAGAAGAGATCTGGGGAATTCCTCTCCAACATCTCATGGATTTAACATTTTCTAGTCCCAAAAGCAAAGAGGGAGGACAGAGGACACTGCCAGAGGACACTGTCCCAGCTGACTGGCCATGGTCCAGCTCCCAGCAGGACCAAGGGACAACTTTCTAGTAGGTCCTTTCTACAGAGACATTGCCAGTGGCCCTGTCCTTCTCCCTGCACCCACACACATCCCTGAGGAGCAGAGCCCAGCATCCCACCAACGGGGAGGGCATTGGGGTGCCGGGGTGACTCACCAACATCAGAGCACAAGGGATGAGGAAGTTGATGATGTCCCAGAGCAGGGCAGAAAGCCAGAAGTTGACCACGTACACGCCGCTGACGAACTGGACGTGCTTGGCCTTGATGGCGCGTTCGCTGACCAGCAGCAGCGCGAAGGTGCTGGCGAGAGAGGCCATCCCATACAGCAGGTTGATAGCAATGGCAAAGCCAGTCTGGCCTCTGTGGGGACAGGGGGACACGTTAGGGCAGGGACACCTCAGCAAACCAATGCTGAGGCTACACAAGGACAGCACAGAATCATAGAATAGTCTCAGACGGAACCCACAGGGATCATCCAGCCCAGCTCCTGGTCCTGCACAGACACCCCGACAATCCCACCCTGTGCACTCCTGAAAGTGTTGTCCAACTGCTCCTGGAGCTCTGGCAGCCTTGAGACCAGGACCATTCCCTGGGGAGCCTGGGCAGTGCCCCAACACCCTCTGGGGGAAGAACCTTTTCTTGATTTCCAGTCTAACCCTCCCCTGACACAGCTTCAGCCATTCCTTTGGGTCCTGTGTCTGGTCACAGAGAGCAGATATCAGCACCTGCCCCTCTGCTGCCACTCTTGAGAAAGCTGTGGCCAGCACACCCACAACTGGGCTCCTTGAAGAGGCTACACTTGGCCAACATGCTGAAGAAACACTCAAGGGAGTCAATCATCCCCCAGGCACAGCCCACCCTGCACACCATAAACCTCCACGCTGCCTTGGCGAGGTCCCAGACATGGCCCCTCTGGTCTAGGTGTGGTTCAGAGGCCCTGGATGTGGGGTTTTGTGAAGAGCATGGCCACTTGGGCTCCACTACTATGAGCACCCAGGAAAACTAACCCCAGCCAGTATCTCGAGGGGAACAGCCAACTCTGAGATGTGCATGGGGTGATGTGGCTGCCAGCTCAGCAGGGAAGTCACCTCCACAGCTTTGCCCCCTGACTTCCTGAGTGCAATCAGAGCTACATTTGGGTCTGAGAAGCTCCAGCCTGGCTTCTTCACTGACTCCAGCACAACCAGGCCAACCTGCACCCATGGGAGCCCTAGCAGGAAAGCGAGCCCTGTGCCATCACCACACGTACTCCATGAGCTGGTCCTTGGCCTTCTCGGTGATGTTGCGGGGCTGGGGGTAGTTGGTGACGGTGATGGAGGCGTTGGGGCCCGCCAGCACCCT